TACGATTCGAACTGTTATCAAAAATGCTTCCGAACGTGCTCAAAGGAAACCAAGAGAACGACTGAGTGCTGTCACCTTGCAAATGTTGGCCACTCGGAAGGAACTGGGAAAGAATATGGATCCGGTAGCCCGAACTGTACTAAATAAGGCTATTTTTTAAATCGTTATAGGGTCAGAAACGACTACAAAGAGTACGCAACACGAAGAGCGAGAGAAGCAGCTGAAAAATCGGCAAGCATCAAGAAAACACTAATCACCACTCGCCTGAAGACAATCACTCCCGACTATCTGACAAAAGAGGATGGTTCAGTGGTGCGAAATCGTAAGGACATGGAAGAAGAGATACAGAACTTTTTTCCAAAATTTGTTCTCCAGCAAAGTACAAGTGCAGCCATACACGTTGAAATTAGCATTCTGTCAAGCAGTCACCTTGCCAATGTTTTCTCACTCTCAGAACTAAGACCGAATTCTTCCCAGGAAAGCAATAGAGATGCAGTCATTCCCATTGAGGACAAATTTGGCATTTTGCTTCCTGCAACATACAGTTCCCTGTCCAAAAGAGCTAGGTCTGCTTGCCCTTATTACGACCACTGGCCGTGAGCAATGTGGTCATTAAATGCTCATCAAAAGATTTAATGAAAAATACAAATATGGCAAATTCTGTCATGAGAAATCTGAACAATCATCACAGAGTTGGCCCGAAATCATGGGACTGCAAATGCTACGAAACAAAGCACTACCTCGACTCTTCAATAAAATGCGAAAGGCGGATATGTTATGGAAAGATGAGAACACTTCTTTGAACTGTTCAAGTGAAAATGCGAACAAAGACGTTGTTGCTTGTCGTTTCGAACCAGGTTTGAATGCGTAGAGCGAGAGATCTACTTGTGCTCAGCGACCACTTGTTGAATCGTCTTTGAGATGATATCGAACACTTCTTCGATCTGAAAGTACCGGTTCAGGCAAAGTTGATAGAATTGATGTTATGCATGCTGACTTGGGCCTTGTTTATGCAAGGGGTGGAGTGAATCGTATAACATCCCCGTGCGTGTTCTTCGACAGGACTCCGTTGGCCAGCAATCGGTTGCACACCATCCAGGCATCGTACTCTGAAACGATTCCAAACTCCAATGGCGCCTCATGTCTCCTTCGAGACAAGGAGCTGACGTACTTTCGTTAATGACAATCGCGATGAACAGCCCTCGTCCCCGAACAGTTTTCACGACATCCTTGGGTAGTGTTCGTAGCTTTGACATAAATAGCTCGCCCATCTTTGCTGAGTTCTCAACAAGACCCTCGTCGTCGATCACCTAAAATGAACAGAAATTTACGAATCAGCTATGGCAAGCTGGTAGGATGAAGCGGTACCTTCAGAGCTTCAATAGCAGCTCGACAAGCCACTGGGTTCCCTCCGTACGTGGAACCGTGCTGTCCCGGTTTGATATTTAGCATGATATGATCATCACAAAGAACTGCTGAGGCCTTAAAAAGAATACAGTTAACAACAAAGAACACGAATTAACAATTAATTAGGCATTAAAATATTAGCGAAAAGTGCAAAAAGTAGTACAAAATGATTTTACAAAATCTGGCAACTAGTGAGCGAATAATGCAGTAAGAGAGATCCTCATTTCGGTGGGTGATTTTTAAAGGTTTGAATGCTCTGTAGGGTTAGGCTAAGCGGTCATCTTGGCAATCCGTTAGGCGTTGATCCTCCCAAACATTCTCTCGAACGCGGCTGGCTTGATTCGGAGAAGTTTACCAAGAACATTTGCAAGAACTCTACAGTTGCTTATGGTGTAGCAGTTGCAGTCTAGTCGAAAGCATATATAACGTCGTCGGCGATGAATGCTATCTTACCGTCCACCTAAAACGTTAGAGCGAGCACAGGAGCACTTGATGAAGATGCTAAAGTAAGTAGGCAAGGCAGAGAAGAAACGAGAAGTCTAGAGGAACGAGTAGAGCCTTACTCATGACCCCGAGGCTCGCCCCTCGCCCACGAGTGCGCCATGCTCCGCTCATTGCAAGGCCCATCTTCACTTTATAGAGGCACAATTGCCCTCTTCCAACCAACAATTCATGGTGCTTGTTGTCCCAGGGAAGAACAAATCCAGATCAAGACAGAAACTGAGACAGCTCTTCCTTGCTGTGAACTGAATGTAGAATTTCACAAGAATGCTGGGTTGTGAACAAAACTTTCGCCCCAGGCGGGACTAGAACCCGCACCTCTCGCTTTCCGGGCAAGTGCGCTACCAGTTACGCTACCGGGGCACCATTTCATTCCAACTCAGCTTTTCATGGTATACTTACCATAGCTTGCGTCACTGCCGATATCGGCTAACCGGCTCAACACGTTATACGTGTGAGTGCTGACAAGCTATGGTACGTATACCATGAAAAGCTGAGTTGGAATGAAATAGGGAAATATTGGTAGCGCACTTGCTAGATAAGCCAAAGAGGTGGGCTCGAGTCCCGATAGTTTTGTTCACAACCCAGCATTCTTGTGAAGACATTCACAAGGCGAATCTGCTGCCAAAAACAGCAGTTAACAATCAAGAATAAGTCAAAATGTGTGTAGAAAGTCTCGAGAATGGCATCTGGGCTATCTTGAATTAGCCTTTACAAAAATTTCGAAGAAGTGAATTCGACTTTCCAAATATTATCTAACCTGCCAACAAAGAAAAGACGGAAAGCTTAGCTGACTTCAGGTAAATTCCATTCTGCGAGCGGGCGCGACATTTTCAACCACAGGGCCAACCACAACATTGTCAATAATTCACAAATGACTGAAAAATACAATTAGAAACCAACCGGATAGACGCCGCCGGAGAGAGCTTTTCCAAGAACCACGATGTCCGGTCGCACGCCATCGTGGTAGTGAGCCAGCAGTCTAAAGTCATTTGGAAGAAATTCGTACTCCTATCACGAGGCTATAGCAAACGTTTTGTCAGTTGTAGTGGTGGAGTAGCCGAGCCCACTTGTCACAAACAGATTTCCATAATTTCAAGTCACTCGAGCATCCATTGAGTAATCGAATATTTACTCAATTTAGCAGCGCGAAAAGTGAGTGAATTTTCGAATCGGAGGGACGTGAATTTGGGAACCGTGATTTCGAGTTATTGCCAGAAAATTAGCAGATTTCATTGATTGCAATGAAGGCATATTTTGAATAGCGTATCGGGTGAAACTCCAGTTCGGGGGGGGGGCACTCCATTTTTTCTCCAATACTCAAGATAAGGATTAGAGGGCTCACGACACGTAATCGACTCATTTAAAGTAGACTTCTGATAAATATCGGTGTAATGGGTGAAGAAACCCTGAAATGTTTCATTTCCGCCTGCCATGGTCCAGGAAACGGTCCTGGACCAGGGAAAATGCGAACACCTTACTAAGATCTATTGGGCATGTGGAGGAGGCGATAAAATAAAATGTGGAAGAACTCCAGAGTGATTGACAACGCCACGGAAAAATTGGATGTGCGATCTGGGATGTGGGTAGGATGTGTGGAACATCCACCGATCCTTGTCAAAAGAACGCCTAAAATGAGCCATTCATTTTTTGTTTTGTAATAGTGTTGGATAGCTCAAATGAGTGCTCTCTAACACTAGGGATAAGACAGCAGGGAAGTGCCCCCCCGAAGTGGAATTCGCCCAGCGTTTTCGATTTGATAGCTGTAAGTAACGTCACTACACTCGTGTAGAGTCTGTATTCCAGTCGATTTTTCCCCAGCAAAATCTTGCTGACAGCATCATTAATACAGGCTTGCGTACAAAATTAATGACGACGTAAGGATTGGTCGTTAAAAACGGCATTAGATAAGCTGATGGAAACAAATCCAACTTCTGGCGAAGTCTTTTAACCTTCACCTACAAAGTTATTCCAGGAATAGAGATTGAGATTGCCACTTTCCCCAGTGTAATAAGCAGCCTTTCGGTATGGAGCATGGGAACTCGGCCGCGAGCTCTTGGTGGTGGTGGCACGCAACTAAGGCGTGTCCAAATGTTTCCAGGCCTTCTGCTCTGCCTTCTTCAGGGAATCAAACTTTTGTGTTGCATTTATTTGCGCTTGCATCCAGGGTGTGAAATACAGAAATCTAGAGCTATTAGGTGGATGGTTCCATTGTAACAATTCTTCGAAAGCAACGAACTCGAAAAATCGCTTTTTGGAGGATTTTTGCTTTATTCTTGGGTGCTCGGTCCTGTAAAAAGTTCTAAGTAGCTTCTATCCACTACATTATATGGAGTCTATTTAGAGTGTCTGGCTGGGTTTTCACATCAATTTTTTCATTTTGGGTGTACGAAAGTCGACAAGGGGAGACCTAGTTTCTGCATCTGATAATTATCCTGGTGGTAACTGTAACTTTCGAGTCCCCGAATTTTCCATCTGTGGTGGTTCCAAACTTATTGAAGAGTTGAACTGTTGCTCATAAGGGCTTCTCTGATAGGTTAGACTGCTGCTAGATGTAACGTGCCAGAGCCCCTAGTGAGTTCAATTTGAGGACTGACTCAAAGTGAAGTAGTTATTTCACTAGTTTTGAGAACTTCATGAAATTTGGTTTCATTAGGAAGAAGACATGTGTACCCTTTCACATAGTGCACAGAAAACGAGATGAAAATGGAGCGATACGGAAAAAAGTGGATATAACTGCGCGCGCGTCACGCGGTCCTCATAATTTACGCACACCGCTCTACAATGTCAAACAAGTTATACGAGAATGTCACTCCTGCTAAATCACGTACTCTCCGGTCCTTCCAAGACCTGATTGTATTTCGTCAGTGATGAAGAGCACATTATGCTTCTTGCAAAGATCTTGCACGCCTAGAGAAACAGCAAGTATTGAAACGCTCAAGTGAAGCACAAACCATTGAGGCTACTCAAGCATCTCATAGTTATCGGAGCTTGCTACCTTACTTTCAAAATATCCAACATCTGGTACTACGACTCCAGCTTCACCCTGGATTGGCTCCACCATGAAACCAGCCGTGTTCGGGTCGGATATGGCTTTCTGAAACACACACCATAACATTTCCCGAGAGAACATAGACTGCGATGGGTGATGGTCTTCCTCCGTCATTGCTACTATAGTATTGGGTGTTGTCCGAAAAAATCCTGCGACAATTCGTACGATATTTTTGATTGGGTGAGCCGAATTTTTTTGAATTGAACAAAGACACCAATTAGGCGCCCATCAGCGGCAGTCAATATGATGATATCAACGATGCATTCGAGCAACGTGCTGATTTTGAACGTTACACGACCCCTTCTCAGAATTCTGGTCCGATTCCACAAAAAAGCCGATTCGCTGTTCAAATGCGGGGATATTACAATTTTCACTGAACCTATTAGTCAGATGACGACTCATCATTATAAGAGAGCATGACCACTCAGAAGCTTGCTGAATCTGACTGGTTACAACTCGTCGCGGGCCGGTGTTGTTCAATCCCTAGGTCATAAATCCACCGCTTTGTTGTACGCGTTGTTGTAGAGTAGGAAGATATTGAGTACTTTTCAGCCAGTGTTACGCTAGATCTCAACCTCATCTTGACAATGGGTAATTTGACCGCCGTTAGGTGTGTGAAATGATCCAGCCAGCGCTTAAGCATCATTCAGCAGACTTCGTATAGCATACGTTATTCCCTGGAGACCTGTTTTTGTTAGCGTTTAAAGCTTAGATTAGTTGAATCCAGTAGTGCTTATATGTGCGGTTCACGTAAACTGTCAGCTACCTTCAGAAGTCCCTACATTTGCCGAAACATCCCTTCAGTACGAACGAAGTAGAAGATATATTGCCATGAAAATTCTGCTTGCCTTGACAGACCGATGCAGCTCATGTGGCACTTATTGCAAGATATTCCCCCAAACCGAGATCGAGGGAGTGCTCGGAAACTATAGGTTGAATGCAACTTGATGTTGTGACCCCCCCCCTCCCCTGGCCCCTCCTCCTTGGTTGCATTTCGCTAGCAGAAGGTTGAGTAGACGCGCGACAGCCGTTTCCAACGCCGAGATTTTTTCCCTCAAATGGAATTGTCCGAAGCAGGGATGTTAGCATCTTCTCTCAAACCTGCGAGGACACAATACTGTAATCAAACGCCAAAATACTTAAAATGAGTGTCAATTGTTTCCTGAAGGAACGGGTTCAATGAGTCGCAGGATTTTCTGGGCAACCCAATATAAGGAGAAGAAATTCGAAAGAATAATGAGTAGATTTTAGAATAAATTGAAAATAGAAGCAATTGTCAGGTACAGACCAGTACCAATCAAACTTATAGGAGCTTACTTCGAGTGCCTTCAGATCATTGTAGGGAACTCTTTCGAAGAGCGGTACAAAGGGACCGAAACCACCGTAGGATTCGGGATCACTTGATGAAGAAATAGCAGCGATTGAGCGACCCCAGAAGTTGTTCTCGGCGAAAATCATCTGAAACTCGCACAATGAGAGTAGTTTCCGTATGGTCAAAGAGAGCACGGCAAACGAAGCACTGAGAGATGGTCTGGCCGGCCCCAACCTGAGCAAAGCACCAAGCCTACACTGCGCTTGTCACTTGACCAGAAAGGTCGCTCATGACGAAGTGCTTTTATACAATACATGTTTTAGGGGCACGTGCTGGCAAGCAGAACGAGGTTCGTTTTTCCCATGCGAGCTCTTAGGTAACAAAAATAGAACATTATAGAGACAGAAGGATGTGCTATAGAGAGGTAGGATACTCCTTTTCGGATTTCGTTCGTTGGGTTCACACTTGTCTGATTATTATGGGTCTATAGAAAAGTTTCAAAACGTGAAAAGCACCATTTCCAGAAGAATTTCTAGCTCCTCTTCCGGCAGTCCTGGTACCATTAACCCTTTGAGGACAATGCGGTTGCACGTAGGTGTGGGACACGCCTCTTTTTGGCGCGGCCAACTCTCGCACAAAATGGGGCAAAATTGTCCCTAAAAGCAGTTTTTCTATCAAAATTTTGACTATGACAATAAATAAAATATGACTGCAGTCTTAAGCTTTATGATCATGTATTGTTGGAATTAGAAGTGGAAGTTTGGAAAGAAATCTCGGATTTCAAAAAGGGATGGTGGTTTGAAACTTGAAATTCAAGTGTACAGTAGGAATTTTTGATATAAGTTCAAACTCCTTATTGTGTCTTATTACTGTGAAAAGACGTAGAGGTCTTGATCTGTCACCACCTCAAGCTTAATAATGTAAAACACTAGTTAATGCCCTTAGGAACTTCGCTGCACAGAATTTGTGGTGACCGCGCACGTGCTCACCTTCGCTTTGTTATTGGGAACCTTCTTCACATCGTAAGCCCAACGGCGAGCGAGCTTCACTGCCGATTCGGCTGCTTCCACGCCTAAATTTGAAAAAGCGTTTAGAAGTTCTACATTCCAACTTCAATTTTTACTCCATAAGGATGCATTTTCATGGGCAAAGCATTTCGTCTCCTCGAACTAAGGGCTTTTGAAGCTTTTGCAATCATGAATCGCAGCGTGTAACAGCATTAACAAATAAAATCTATTGGCACTATTCAACTATTACAACCCCAAAATCTCAAAATTTTATTTTTCGTCGAAACTTCCTCTATAGGGGTAATTCGGTGCCCTGATTACGAAAATGACATTCATTTTTGGCGGTGGCGCCATCTGGCGCCAGTTGGCGCCACCTTGTCACGACACATGTTTTCACCAAATTCGGTGTAAAGTTCTGTATAGGGGTTATTTGATGTCCTGATTACGAATATGACATTCGTTTTTGACATTACCGCTGTTTACCGCATACTTCCCGCTTTTCTGGGCTCTCTCACCTATACATAGCGCCTTGGGACTAAGCTTAGGGGATAGGGAGACTCGGAATGAGTGAATCAGGCACCGTGTGACGAAGATGGAGCGTGTGAGATCACAGGGTAGGGGCTCACTCACTGATATCTTTCCTCTCTCCTAAAGCTTAGTCCTGATCGCGATCTAGTCACTAGGAGGGCGCAGACGAAGAGATTAAAGCGCTAAATGGAGCTAGCGCCAAGAATGAATGTCATATTCGTAATCTGGACACCAAATTACCCCTACCCAGAAGTTTACATCGAGTTTGGTGAAAACAACTGTCGTGACAAGGTGACGCCACCTGGCGCCAGATGGCGCCCCCGTTGAAAATGGATGTCATTTTCGTACTCAGGGCACCGAATTACCCCTATAGACAAAGTTTCGACGAAAAATAAAATTTTGAGATTTTGGGTTGTAATAGTTGAAATAGTGCGATGTATTTCCTGTACCAAGAAGAAACTTGCGCGTGATCGCTAAGGAGATCTCCTTAGTGAGGCGCTTCTTGAATGCAGCCCATTAACATAACATAAAAATTAATATTAGGTTTGTAAAGGAGGGCCGCTTCAAGAGAGTTATCGACAACTGCCTGGATTCATATTTTTGCCCCTTGGATAAGCATAAGCTGAGTAATGGCCAGAGGTTTATTAGTTGCTATGAATGTGTTCGCTTCCCTTATAAATAAATTTTCGACTCTGAATCAGGGTCAGTCCTATCGTTGCTACTTTTCGAAAAGTTCTCACGACCCCCTCTCCGACCAATTTTTACCCCAAAAAACTACCGTCGGCGGGAGGGGGTATATACGCGCGCTGAAACGGCAAATTTTCTCCCGCGCCGCTCTCCCCTCTCATCACATGCCACTTCTTACAACCTAAGCAAGTACGACCCCCCTACAAACTCACCAAAATACGACCCCCCGTTGCTACTTGTAGCAACATAGGGTTGACCCTGCTCTGAATGTGTGGTTGATCTGAAGGAGGACTAGCCGTTAAATGAGCTTCGATAACTTTTATGATCAACCTTGGGCACCTTACCGGTGTTCATCGGTAGAGCTTTGTCGTATTTGAACTTCTTCACGAGGAATTCCTCGTACTCGCCAAGTACGTTGTTATAAAACGCTCGTGATGTCAACGAGAGTGTCTGCATCTGTTTCACGGCAGCCTAAACATTATGAGAAATTTGCCAGAAGATGGGTGGATGTGAATATCCTTGAGCAGCTAGCGAAAATGGAAGTAAGTTATGCTGGATTTCCCAACGGCTATGAAAAGGCGTAGTCAGATGAAAATTCGGTGTCCCTCCACTCCAATGAATGCGCATAAAGAAACAGCAATTCAATTTTTTCATCAAGAAGGGTCACTTACCGCCACTATTCGAGGATGACAGTGACCTTGATTAACAGCAGAATAGCCAGCGAGACAGTCGAAATACCTCTTACCAGCCACATCCCATACGAAAACACCTGAAAATGGACCAAACTTTGCGCTGCTATTAGGGCCTAATAAAAAAAGTGGATAGAAGTTGGCGAAGAAAAGCAAGTCAATTTTTATTGGTAGGCAGGGCATTCACCAAACTTGGCGGAATTTGTTGCAAGGCTTATAACTCGGTTCCAGGAAGTTGCAGAAATCGGGAAAAAAGTGGATAGAACCAGCGAAGAGAGGGAAGTAAAGTTCTGATGGTGGGCGGGGCGTGCACAAAAGACAGACAGTTCAGAGACCGGGGAAGAAGGGGGAAAGATTGGCGAGGAAGAAGATAAGGTGGGTGGGATATGCATCGAAATACACGGAGTTTCACGAAGTTTATAAATCGGTATAGAAGCAGTCTGGACACCGAGAAAAAGCGGACATTGGTTGAAGGAGGACGGAAGGTCAAAAGCCAATGGTTTATGGAGCATGAGACAAGCGTATAGAGTCTAGCATATTGTCAGGAGTCAGACATTCGTAGTATAGCGGGCCAAATGCAAGAATCAACATCCAAACCAATCACAAAACGTGTTGTGCGCGTGTACGGCGCCAACTGGTAAATAATAAAGCATTCGGAGTTGATCAATCCCATTAAGGGATACGCCATGCATTCCACTTCCATTCAGAATTGTAGAAGCCTTTTGAGTGTGTGGAGGCCAACCATCATAGTGTAGGTCAGCGATTTTATGCCCCCAGCAAATCTGGCACCAAATAAACGGCCCCAGAGGGATGGACGGCTCGCTCGGTGGAAACTCTGAACTCACCTTCTCCTTTGGCTAGAGCTACAGGCAACGGTTTGTAGTTGTGACAGCCGTACTTGAGTTCTCTGTCGAAAATCTCCTGAGCCGTTGGCACTTGAAGAGATCGTGACGTGGAGAAAAGTCTGGTGTCAATCGAAGTGGACATCCATTCTCCTCGGCACGATTTCCTCCCCTAAAAACACAGATGAGCCACATAGTGCATTTGATGACGCAAATAAAGTAGTTAGGTTTGAGTAAAAAACGAGCAAAATCAACGACGTAAGAAGTGAACTAAAGGAAAGCACTGCTGAAACAACGACGGGAATTCCGTGAAAGGGGGAATATCGGACAGATGAAAACAAAAACAGCATAGTCGACCATGAAGCTTTAGGATTGACAACATATAAAACTTTTCATAAGAAGGCATATTATCTTTTCTGGCGATTCCATCTATGACTTCACAAGATTTCTTTTTGCGGTAAATCATAAATGAAGGGGAGGAGCGGCACGTGCACATTCGATTCCCTCGAACCAGTAGTGCGTGCTGATATTGACCAGCAGGTGAGCCACAGAATATCGAAACAGTTCGAATGAATGATCTGCTATCTTCTGTCACTCAGGGTACGCCGTACTCAAGGCCCACCACTATCATGGCGTCCTTGCGGAATTGGGAGGGGAGAAATATGCGCGAATTCGATCATGTTTTGACCTCCAAAAGGGTAGCATGGGTCAAGATGCGTCGACGACTTGGCGGGGTGTCTGTCAAAAGAAGTCTAGCTGAAGCCATTTTCTTAAGTTGTGACTAGCGCCATTCACGGTGGGCTGGAGCAGGGTCAACCCTGCGTTGCGCAAAGAACAACGAGGGGGTCGTATTCAGCCGACCGAAAAGGGAGGGGGTCGTATCCACAGACGGGCTGCAAGACGGCTTGAAAAGTGCAGTGTCCGGGAGTGCACTTTCAGCCTCTAATGTTCTCCAGGAGCTCTGCACGCTGTCGGAGAGTCACACAGACATGAGCTCCATGGGAGCATTAAAGCATGCAGAGCACTATAAGTCTCACCATCAGCTTATTATCCTTAAGCGACGCTATCCGGACGGCGCTTTTGCTTCCGCGGCAGA